ACTCCAATATATGCTACTAAATATAGTAGTAACACTCCCTAACTCTCAAAGCCCTAGTAATCTCTCTTATAGTGTTCGCTTTCAACCCTAATGAGTTTAAAGTCAATTCTTGGGCATCACTGGACCCCATTGGAACTTTCCAGGACCCCACACGCCTCTCCACGCGCCCCCACGCGCCACCACACGCGCCTAAACACACTACACGCGCATCCACGCGCCACCACAAGCTGGCAGGTATCTTCACGCGCTTCCACGCGCGGTACACGCGCCTGTTCTTCATTCTGGATGACGTGGCTGCTTCTGGTTGGCTAGAACTCTGGGCTTTAGTGAGCTGCGTCACACTGGATTATTTGTATGTTGACTGGACCAAGTCAACGGTCCAGATTCACACACACATAGAGCTCCATGCGCCGCGATGCACCGGATCTCTTCTTTGTTGATGAGATCGATCCAAGGGCCTAGATTAATGGTGCATTGAATCTCCATGTATCTCTACCACACTGGATTATTTCAATTATATCAAACTAATTGTATGGCCTAGATCTGCGGTTGTTCTAACTTTCTATGTACGTGAAGACACCGGATAACACCCCAGTTGTAGCAGTTACGTAACAATGCATAAAAATATATATAAAAAAATTAAAATAAATTCCAGAATATTCCGAAAAAATACAAAACACATTCTAAAAAAATTCTAAAAATCTAGAAAAATTCCAGAATATTCCAGATAAATTCCAAAAAATAAAGAAACCCTAATAAACCCTCTTGGATCATAAATTCACCTATAGATTGATTTTAAAACATATATACAACACCTATATTTATTAATTAAAATCTAATAATCCAAAAATCCAATATAATATTTTATACTTTTAATTAATCCAATCCAACAATGATTTTTAAATAAATAAATTTAATCTTAACATTCATACTCAAGGTGATAAACTTATGAGTTCTAAGAGGAGAGTTAGAAAAGAACTTGCCTGAAGGTTTCGAAACGAAACCGACGCTTTAAGTCTTACAATCTAAACGTCCTCCTTCTCAGATCCGGTCTCCTCCTTGTCAGCTCTTCTTCTTTCTCTCTCTGCCTCCCTTATTTTCTAAGGTGTAAACTCTTTAACCCTAAACCTTATGTGTATATTTATACACATTAATTCCTTTAATCCTATTCTTACTAGGATTACCAAATAAAATAATAATTATTATCTTTAAATAGTATAATATATATAAACATATATTATATTATATATATATATCTTCCATAATTAACAATGGTTAATTAAATCATATATTATATATATATCCATAAATATATATCTATATATATATCCTTCCATAACATTTATTAATTAAGTATATTTATATATAATTAAATACATATATTTATAAGGATACAAAAATGATCATTCTAGTAATCAAATAACTATGGGCCTTTATTATTTAACCCAATAAGATTTTCTTCAAACCCAAGACCACATCCTTTGGTCCAACTTCCCTTAAACCCAATTCAATTAAAATAAAATAATTAACTTAATTAAATTAAATCTAATAATTACAAATAATTAACAAACAATTCACACAAGCATAAATACACACAATTCAAACAAATAATTCAATCACATCATTTCACAAAACAAAACACCATATAAATTCAACAACTGAAATCACACAATATAATCTAATTAAACTAAAACAATTAATCTAAGCACTCAATTAAAACAAATAAAAATAAAATAAAAATAAAATAAACACAATTAATTCAAATTAAATCAAATAAATCATTTAAAAAAAATAAAAGTAATTAATTTTCATTAACAATTCCTTTAAAATATCGGGGTATTACAGAATCTCTCAAGAGTAAACCGCAATCTCTTAGATCTGGACGAAACTTCTACAAATCAAGCTTCGTCGTCATCAATCAGTCGGAATCAACATGACGTTGATCAAATAAGAATCAACCTTCAACGTTTCCCACAGACGGCGCCAATTGAAGATGCAAGAGATTCAATCACCTTTCTCTCTCTAAAATTCTTACACTTCAACAGAATGAAAACTCAAAAAACCTCCCCTTCTCTCTACTCGTATTGTCTATTTATAGACCATTACAAATACTCTAACCAACTTATTACATAGGGCTCTTATTCTTGGGCTTTCTTCCTTTTGGGCCTGACTTCATTATGTAAGTCTCAGACGTTGGGCCTAACTCACAGTGTTGCATTATGGGCTGAGTTCAACTGTTCGGTCCGATCTTAATTTCGTGGGTGTTGGGCTCATTATGCTACCCTTTTTGCTTGGGCTCGGACCTACTATTCAACCTGATGCTCTACTCGCGGGTCGGGTCTGGTCCAATCCATCTTTGATATCCTCAACCATAAATACAAAATTTAAAAAAATTTAGCAGACAAGCAAGCTTTAATAACTCTAACTAAACAAATCCAACTAATTTTATTTGAGTAGAGGATGATGTTGTTATGAATATTAATGATATCAAGGTGATGTCAACTCCACTCACATAAATTAAGAATGATAGGAGGAACAAGGAAAAATAAAAGAATGATTGGGAGTCTAATTCTATGTTTGGTTGGAGGGAAGGATTTAGATGAGAGAAGGGATGGATGAAACTTTTCATGTTTGGTTGGAAGGAAGGGAAGAGAAGAGAGGGATGAAGCAAGAAGGGATAAAGCATCCCTCATTTCTTCTTGTTTTTCTATACTCTCAATTTTAGGAGAAGGGAGGAGAGAGAAAATGAATAACTACCTATACATATATAATTTTTAATTTTAACCTTAAAAATAAATAAATAAATAAATAAAAATTCAAATGGATATTTACTTTTATTATTTTATAAAATGAAGGTATATTGGTAAAAATTATATAAATACTCTATTTCTCTTCCTTCCAACAAAAAAAAAAAAAAAAAAGTATCACCTCATCCATCATTTACACTATCCACTCCATTTAACCAAATAAAAAATGGGGGAGATCGACATCTTTCCTTCCCTAGGGATTTCTCAACCATCCCTCCCCCTGTCTCTTCTATTCCTTTTTCCATCCTTCCAACCAAACAAAACAGAACAATCGGACAAAACCATATAATTTTATGTGAGTAAGCTGATGTTATGATGACGTTAGAAATATTAATGACGTCATGATTACGTTCCATCCCTCCAACTATGGGTGACAATTCGTATTTGTGGATCATAATGGTATCGTATCGATGTAAGGGTATTATATTAAATAGTAAATCCAAATTTAACTCATTTAATAATCAAGAACCTTCAAAACTAACCCAACCCATTTATTAAACGGGTAAACGTATTAACCTATTTAATGACCTGTTTATCAAAATGAGACATTTAATATTTAATCAAATAATAAATAATAGAAAAAATTTATCACAATTAACCCAAATATTCAAAATAAGAAGAAAAATCATAAGTCATAGACAAGGTTTATGTTGAAATGACTTAACTATTCATAATAATTGGGTTTAAACAGATAATATATTTCATAAGTCATATTAATTATTGTAACATGTTGAGTTAAACGGGTCATAAATGGGTTGAACCCCCCAATTCTAAACCGACACGGTTAAATAAACAGGTTAATCATGTCAACCTATTTATGACCCGAACCCATTTAAGGTTAACTCAAACCCGTTTATCTCGTATCGTGTTCGAATCATATTGACGGGTCGTGTTATAATTTGCCACCGCTACCTCCAACCAAACAAAACAAAACAATCGGACAAAGTCATCTAATTTTATGATGACATTAAAAATATTAATGACGTCATGATTACCTTAGTTGTCATAATTACATTAGCCTATTCAAATCAATCGATCGGAGTTGTTAGACTTCTAAACTACAAACATTATTCTTCAGGTTATTGTTATTGAGTTATGTTAGAATTTGAATTCTACAATGCTAAGTTTTGTTATTTTTCTATCTAATCCTATATTGAAAAAATTACTTTTAAAATACACAAAATTGCTCAGTAATCAATCACCTAATTCGAAATATATATCGCGAATTATATTTGTGATGTTTAGCATTATATTAATATAGTTTGCTTCTTTGACCAAGGTATGGTTTTTTTTTAATAGATATTAGAAATCATTATTTGGTGGAAATGATTAAAGAATTTTTAATATGAAGAAAAAGGAGAAATATGTCGGTAAAATAATAGGTCAAATGCATAATGGTGGACAGGTGGCACTCTTCTTAGAATAATTCTAACTAAATTCACATGCTACTTTCCTAACTAAATCCAAGTGATTTTCTTAAGATCAATGTTAGACATCATGAAAAGCTCTTTTATTTTTTATTTCTTTATTTATATAAAACACATCACAAAAGTTATATTTTGAACCCATTATGGATTGAAAATCGCTGCATTAAGATTTTAATCGTTACATGGAATCATTAAATTTGGATAAATTGCACTAATCTTTGAAGTTTAGACATAAAATTTGGATAAATTACATTAATCTTTGAAGTTTAGACAAATTATACGCAATAGTCTATTTACCATAAGTATATATGCAAATTACACATGAATAAACAAATAAACATTTATTATAATCATGTGAAAATTGATGGAACCTTTGTATATGTGCTTTCAGTTCGCATAAGATGAAATTAGACAGATGCATTAACAATTTCATATCAAAAGATGAATTGAGAAAGAAAATATTAATAGCAAATTTGAGTAATTCAAGAATTATTATTTGCACAAAATTCATTTTACAAGATTTTATCCACAAGAATCAAAGTAGTTCAAGGAATTTTTTTTTTCTTTTTTCACAATTTATTCTTTAGAAGAAACTAGAAAGTGATAGTCATATTGTTGTAGCAGGCTTTACATTGGATATGGTTGCCTCTTGCATGAAAATCTGGACTTATGGAAAAAACCATAGTCATGAAATTAGAAACGACAATAGGAAAAGGATGAGTACAAGAATGGCAACAATAGAAAATTGTTTCCCATATAAAGCATATTAACAAAGAACAAGACAAATAATTCATTATTGCAATCCGAACTGTATTGCACATTCCATGTCTCTTTTTTTATACATAAAAGCACATTCTATAGTTTGCTTAGTTTTATTTATAAATTGCCATTGATATATCTATAAGCAACACATAATAACAACAAACAACTTTCAAAACACAAAATATTACAATAAACTTATAACTGGTTGGATCTTGTGACAATATCACACACACAAAACACAAATGTTACTTTTGGTTTATGAAAGAAGCCAAGCACTTAATCATGTCAACTGCCTTCTCACAAGTTGGATCAAAGATGTGGAAGACATGATCTTCCCCTTTTGTCTCTAAAATCTCTGCAACTCCACCCCACCCACTCTTCATAAGTGACTCATAATAAAGCATCCCTCTATCCTTCAATATGTCTTTCTCCGCGATACATACCAGTATCCGACTACACGCCAAGTTTTCGAGACTCGGAGCTCCTTTTACAAAAGGGTTGATAAGCGGATCGTTGCTTCCCTTATCCGATGGACAAACGAATCGCCACCAATTATCCACCATTTCTTTTCTCACCGGATCCGTAACCTCCGACCCAATTGGTTGCTCTCCCCAAAAGTATGGGTTTATCGAAATGATCCCGATAAATTTCAACCCGTTGACCCGGTCCGATAACCCGACATAGATTGCCATGTGGTGTGCGATATTTGCACCAGCACTATCACCAGCCAAGAACACCCTTTCAAAGTCAACACTCTCCTTAAGCCAAGCCTCAGTGCCGCCGCCACCGCCACCGCCTGAAGTATGTGAAGCCACCCATTGAAGGGCGGCCCAGGAGTCATCGTAGGCGGCCGGGAGGGGGTGCTCGGGGGCATTTCTGTAATCCACCGAGACAAGAATGATGTTTGCTTGGGCAACTAGTGCGTTGAGAGAGTTGTGGTAGAAGGGATCTTGAACAGAGGATATGCAGAATGCTCCGCCGTGAAAATAGACAACAAGGGGCAGTTTGGGGTGGTGGGTGGTGGAATCAGGAGGACGGTAGAGCCTGGCGGAGACACCGGTTTCGGGCACGATGAGGATGTCTTTTGATGTAACACCAGTTCGAGGATCAAGTCCTGCAGGGGTCACTGCGATCCCTGCTAGTCTCTCTATGGTTCCATCGTTGTAAACTCTAAGGTAGGGTGGAACCTCAAGAGATACTTCTGGTTTGAGTGAACCCATGTAGAGGGAGAAAGAGAGAGGGGTTTGAAAAGAAGATTAATACAAATGCTAACTGGGAAGTAATTAAGAAAATGCAGGTACGCGTTGGCCACAATAATGACTGCAATGTTTCTTATAGGTTTATATATATAAATATGTCATGTCTGTCACCATCAAAGGTTGGTCAAAGTAATGTGATTTGTCACCCCGTTAATGCTATTTTTCAACCCATCTACTTTTGATTTTCAACATATTAATTTTTTTGTTAATTTTATTCACACTAGGTTTGATCAATTTTCACTTTCAAATATAATTTTTAATTCATTTTTCAATCATACTCTAATAATAACTACAATGTTTCTTATATATATATATATATATATATATATGTCTCTCACCATCAAGAGTTGGTCAAAGGTAACGGCGGGTTTTGATTTTTGACACAGTAATTTTTATTATATTGAAAAATCTTACTCCACAGTGTTCTACACAATCGAGAATTCAAACTCTTGTCTATATTTTCTGAAGTAAAGACTTCTCAATACTTTCTAAAGTAAATATTGAAAGTTTAATTTTAATGGGAACAAAGCAAGTGTACGAGTTATTTGTAGAGAAAACAAATTTGTGTGTGTGAGGTCCAGTGGGCAGCAAGGGAAAGAATGGTTCATGTTTACAAAAAAAGAGAAAATCAAGGCGGGGAAGGAAAGCAACTAATGAATGAGGAAATAAATATGGAGAGAAGATTATGAAAGAATTTCATCAAGAGTATACAAAATTTGACTTTATAGTATTTCTTTAAGTGTTTTTCTATTAATTATCATAATTTTCATTATATTCATATTAATTCCTTTTCCTATACAACAAACCAATCTCTAACCTTTGGTTGTTAACTTGTCAATGAGTTGTCGGATCGAGGACACGTGTTATTTTCGCTAGTCAAATTAGAACAACTTAATCATATGTAATTCAACCAAAAAAAAAATTAATCATATATATATATATATATAAAAGGTTAAACCTAAAATTCAACTCGGAAAATTACTTAAAACTAAAAATTTATAAATTTTAATGTTGAACCTACAAACCTAAAAACTCATTTTAAAAATAAAGATCAAGACTCCAATGTTGAAAATGTCCCTTATTTTAGTTACAGATCATTCTTTTCCCCTACTACTAATATTATCTCCAAAGACTCAAAGGTCAATAGTTCAACGAACAGGAAATTCAGAATCCATACAAGTGGACATATATATGCAGGAGGGGACAGTTTGTTTTCTTATAACATATATACTGTCTATCAAATACTAGTTTGTTGAACTAAAATCCAAATCAAGGCAAATAAATTAAGTTTGTATGAAATTCAAGCCAGTGTGTATGTTAATTGAATGTAAAATAAAACTGAACAATTCAATGTTCTGAATAGAACTCCAAGCTCAGACAAAAAAATTTGAACCAGTCAGTCAATTCTTCATTGTTTATACAAAAAAAAAAAAAAGTCCCAATCATTTCACATGGTAGAATAAAAATTAAAGTAGGCTGCTATAGATTCTCGAGGTTTTAGAATATGTTGGACACCAGTTTTGTTGAGGTTGTTGAGTCTAAATCACAAGTTCTGATGCAAGTATTGTTGTCTCGATCATTCGATCTAAGCTCCCGTTTCAATCGGCATAGTTCAATTTTGAGATCTTGAGAGTATGAAAAATATCGCTTGAACTTGGACCCCTTTCGATCGATAGAAACCATAATCATTTCAATCAATGTAAGCGACAAGCTGCGAAATTTGTTTTTCAAATTGAAGATTTGCTTCCAAAAGGCTTTAGATCTGGGGAGTAAGTTGTTTCCACAATAAATATTGGGTTTTGTATCAACCCTAGTGGGCCGTGACATGTGTGTGACATATTACGGAGGGAGATATACACGAGAGATCATATAGAGCTCTTCTTGTAAACATTCATTATTATTGTTGATAATGAATATTCCAGCGCGCTCTGTGAACGTAGACAAAACAATTGTGCCGAAATCATATAAATCCTTGTATTCTTGTCTGATTGTTTTTTTACTTTTCTTCTTTGATTGTTTCCACATATTATATTTTGATTCCATTGTTCCCCAACAGTTTTTTAATGCAACTGGGAGATTCCAAACATATATACTCTTCAAATTAAGTGACTGGTTTAGTCTTTACTTGGATGTTGCATGAAGATGCATGAAACTTGCCACCAAACTCCCATGGTGGATCCTACTTATAATACTAAACTAACAATAAGATAGAATTAAACCAAGTCATTCTACAACTTAAGAGTGTTCAGTCACCATGATATGTAAACTGGAAGAGAACAAAAAAAAAAATTGAATAAATATATGTGTGTAAAACTTGCCATGCCATTCTAGCATTTCATATACAAGGGAAAGAGTAGCTGTTCTTAGGCACCCAAAAAGTATGGAGAATACATTAGCAACAAACCATGTCAAGGGGCCATTGAAGATCGATGATTTCTACAATCTCATCAACCAAACACTCATTCTGCATGTAACCAACTCTCGAGGACAAACCTTCCAGGCTGGTCTTGCTGGTAGAATGTTAATCAATTGGTCATAGTTCTCTACTAAGGAATTTAATTTTGTTGAAAGGAATATTCATTTTCCTTACTAATCAGACTTAGAGCTACCACTATAGACAATCTTAGAAATTTTTATTTATTTGGTGATACATACTCTCCTCATAATTTAGTATAATTATAAACACCTACTTTCATGACTGCATATCATCTAACACATCATCAATTCATCATTTATTAATTGGGGTTGCATAACATAATATTTCATGATTGTGCTTAAAGTTTGAACATGGCTTCATCTGCTAGCACTAACTATCGTGTTTTTTTCTCTCTCTCTCTCTTCATTTTGGAAGATCTTTGCACAAAGATAAGCTAGCTATCCATGTTTCAATTATCATGTACTAAGCATTAATTACTCAAAAAAGAAAAGAAATATTATACTTCTTCCAAATGACCCCTATTTTTTGGGAAATTGATATAATCACTGTATTTCTTCTCTTCTCTCTACTTAATTGAACCAAAATGGCGAAATAGAAAGATAATTAGAAACATCAGGACATAATTAGGTACTAAAGTTTTTGAGGAAAAGGAATATTATGCAAGCACTCTTTTTCATTGTGTGTTTATACAATTATAGACACATACAAAAATCAATCACAATTGTAATTACATGATTGTATGAATTATTTAAGAAATAAAAAAATATGTGACAACTATAGTTGACTAAGAATTGATTTGTTTCCTTAAATAGTTCCACGATGATAGCCTTCATGAGAATCTCCAAGATCTTCAGTGATTGTTGATTTATTTAATTTGTTTCCTTGAATAGTTTCACAATGATAGCCTTCGTGAGATTCTCCATGATCTTCAGTGATTGTTGATTTATTTCTCTTAACATGCCCCCTCAAGCTGGAGAGGGAATGATCATGAACTCCCAACTTGGCACGTAGAGAAGAAAACAAGTCATTCGGCAGTGATTTTGTGAAAATGTCAGCTGGCTGTGAGGCGGATGAAATGTACAGAGTAATGAGATTTCCCATAGCTACCTTCTCACAAACAAAATGATAATCAAGCTCGATATATTTAGACCGAGCATGAAACATAGGATTAACAGACATATATATATAAATATATATATATATATATATATATATATATATATTTGATAAGTATAGGATTAACAGACATATGAAGAGCATGCACTAACATTATCACAAAACAATTGTGGAGGTTTAGACAATGAAATGCAAATGTCTCGAAGCAAAAAATGTCAACCAAGTTATCTCGGCTATTGTAGAAGCCATAGACTAATATTCCACCTCAAAACTTGAACGAGCAATTGTAGGTTGTTTCTTTGAACACCATGAAATACAATTTGCTCCAAGGAAAGTACAAAATTCAGTAGTGCTTCTCCTTGTGGTTGGACATCCTGCCCAGTTCGCATCATAAAAACCATAGAGGTCGAGAAATTGGACTTTTGGCTAAGTAACGAACACCATAATGTTAAGTACCCTTGAGATACCTCAAAATTCATTTAACTGCCTTTAAGTGTACCAATGTAGGATTGTTGAAATTTTGATAAACTCGGTTGACTGCATGGATAATATTCGGCCGAGTAAATATGAGATATTGTAGCACGCGAACAATGCTTCGATAGCTTGAAACATCAACTGGGTCATAGTCCGAGGTTGTTGCTTTTTCCTTGATGGCCATGGGAGTGTTGAGAGGAGAGATTTCAATCATTCTTACTCGATAAAGGTCTTGACTATACTTTGTTTGAGAAAAGAAAATACCACCACAAAAGGATTCACTTCCACTCCAAGGAAATAACGCAAAGAGCCAAAGTCTTCGATGGCAAACTCATGACTCAGCTTCTTGATAAGTGTTATGATAAATCCATCACTATTTTCAACAGCATGAACATCATCGACATATATGAGAAGAATATAGATAATGGTGTTGTCACGGTAAATGAATAGGGATGAGTCCACTTTGCTACAATAAAAACCAAGTTGAAGCAAAAATTAGGAGAACCTATCAAACTAAGCACGTGGTGCTTGTTTCAGTCCACATAATGGTTTCTTAAGTAAGCAAACATAATTGGAGAGTGTTAGATCGATGAACCCAGGGGGCTACTCTGTGATACCCCTCGGATTCGAGACACGGGTTGATCAGGCCCAAGCCCAAATCCGAGGGATATCAGACAATTAATATTTTAAAAATGAACACGGAATACAAAGTGATTAAAGAAATAATATAATGAGCGGAAAGAAACTAAAATAAATCCTCAAATATAAATATTTAAATCTTGACAATCCAAACTCCATAAGTTTAACAACTCGGGAATCCATCTCTAGTGGACCCCTAATGAAATCCCAAACTGCATGGAAGAAAACTGAAGATAAAATCCAAATCTAATATCTGGAAAGAAGTCCTACGTTGTCGGTAGAATAGAAGTCTGTATCTGCTCTGCACGATCAAACTCTAACCCTGGAACTGACGAGTACCTGAAAAATATAAGGGTGGGTCAGGCCCACTTGCAAGT